TGTTTGGGCTCTCCTGTTTTAATTGGGACTTGAATGTTGATGTCCTGTTTCTGGGAGGGATCTCCCCTCTGAGTTGCTGCCAGTGAGGTTCAACCCCAATGTTGTAGTGTCAGCTGTTAAACAGGTGCTTTGGGTCCACTATTTGTGGGGCTTGCTGGATTTTGCTCTGATGTTGTTGAATGGTCCCTTTGGTATGTCTATTCTGGGCCTCCTGGGAGCTTCTCTAGTGTAGGTGAATGTGAGTAACTGTCCCTTTCTGGCCCTGGGCAACTTGATTGAGGTCCAATAGGTTCAATCCCCTAGTAGTCCAGTGTTTGGGGACTCTTTAGCCCAGATGCTGGGTCTGCCTTGAGTCTCATACCTCTATTGACCTTGTTCTGAGCTGTACTCCCTTCCCCCACAGAGCTGGTCCTGCAGGTGTCAGCTGCAGGCACTTGGGGTCCCACTGGCTTTTGCCTCATTGAGCAGTCTGGGGTGGGACTGATCCTTGGCCCCCCTGGGAAAGGGGCCACATCCGCTGCCACCCACTCCCAGTTTCCTGTCCCAGCTCAGGGCCTGAAGGCCCTGGTGGGGTCGGGAGAGGAGGAGATGGTTATTGGGCTGGGCACGGAAGGAACAGAAGCCAGACAAGGACACTGCTGCTGCAGTTCCCCACCTCCACCCTCCTCCTTCCCTCGCTGCCGGGCCGCCACCGCAGCAGGTGGGCGCCGACTGGGGCCTGCTGGCCGGGGGGAGGGACGGGGCACAGGAGGTTGGCTGCCAGCCCCGAGAAGGGAGCCAGCCCTTGGTCCCCCTGGGAAAGGGGCCACGTCTGCCGCCACTCACCCCCGGTTCCCCGTCCCAGCCTGGGGCCCAGCCCCGATTGGGCAATTGGGGCCTGCCAGCCGGGGGGATCATGGTAAGTTGGCTGGTCGGGGGAGGTTGCTGTGGGAATGCACTGACCACCAGGGGCAACCCCTGTGTTGAACGTCTGACCCCTGGTGGTCAGTGCGCATCATAGCGACTGGTCGTTCCAGTCATTTGGTCCTAATGGTCACTTAGACTTTTATATATATAGATTATATAAAATGTTGACTCAGTTATAAACTCAAATTTACAAAACAAGGCATCTTCAAAGACATCTGGGTTCCATCACAGTCTTTGTTATTATCATTTATGTCAAAATTTCATCACACACAACAAATCCCCTGGTGAGATTCAGCCCACCCCACCCTCTGGCAATCACTGACCTGGTATCTGTCCCTATAATTTTGCCTTTTACAGAATATTATATAAATGGGATAGTAAAATTTGTAGCTTTGGGAGTCATTTAGCAAAATGCATTTGAAGTTCATCAACGATGTTTGGGTGCCAACAGTTCATTCATTTTTGTTGCTGAGTAATATATGTGGTTCAGAGGTACCACATTGACCTGTTGAGGGACATTTGGGTTGTTTCCAGACAGTTGTTTTCACAATTTGTCTTTTTTGATAGGTCTGGTGAATCTGGCCCTTTTAGACTCTTCCAACCAAACAGTAAAAGAAAATACTGATCTGTTCCTGTGTTCTCAAGGGCCTTGGCCAGCATCAAAATAATTAAATTCCATTTCCCAGAAGTTGACAAAATACCTCCGAAACTCAACACCACTTTTGTTCCCATTTGCCTCTGATCTATGGTTCACCACACGCCAAATGGCTGTTCTCACTGGAGCTAACACACACTGTTTGGATACAGAATTCTCAGCTTTTATTC